CGGAATGAAACTCATATAAAATTTATAGAGGTTGAAGAAATACGAGAGAAGTTTGTGAAATATAATTTATTAATTTTTGCAATTTTTAGTTATTAATTTAACGGATTTTATAATTATGTATCTTCATTCATACATTTTACCCAATACAGCAAAATAGTTGTTATTATTAATAGTTTAGCACACTACTAATTTTGTAATTTTAAGTTAATAGTTAATAATATATTTAAATGTATATTTTAACCTGAAATAAAAAAAAAGTGAATAGGTTGTGCTAAACAAAAATATTATATCCATAATTCGATAAAAGCGCATTTTTAACTATTTTAATGCTATACAAACAGATTTTATACATATTTTTAAAATAATTATATAGCCCCCATCAATAAATGTTATAATGCTTACTAGATAGAAGAAGTGTTTGGATCAACAATTCTTGAGTAATGTTTTCTCATTGATATAGAAAATTTCTCAAAATTAGAATTAGTCATAGTTATATTTCATAAAAAAAAAAATTTTCAACGTAAATAATTTAATGATGATTTATTATAACTATCTTATGATTGTTGCGTATTTCGTAATAACTATATTTTTATGATATCTTGATTCAGCGATTTCTAAAAAAAAAGAATTCTTTATAATAATAATCAGCGGAAAGAGAAACCTCACTTAAAAATATTTTATCAAATCAGAAATATACTTGGTTAGGTTTTTAGGGGAACCACAAAAATATCTTATATATTTTAATATAACCACTATATTTTTACTGTAATCAGTAAGTTAAATTTTAAAGAAAATCCTAATGAGGATCGGAGATTAACAAAGAAATTTATGGGAAGAGTATACGTCTACAGGATATTAGTTTTATAAATATTTTATAGCTTAGTTTTTTATTTCAATTTATTTTAAACTAAAGAGAAATATTATTTAAATGAATGGAAGTGGTAAATGCAAGGTTGGCTAGGAAATGTTACTTTAGGACAAGGTCTTAAAAATTCAAAAGGAGAAAAAAAGAAGAAACAAACTGAATTTTTTTTTTGCTTTTAGGAATTTTATTTAAGTTATAGGAAGACTAGTTAGAGATGAAAATGTATTTTTTAAATTATATCATTTGTTCATATGGTAAGCAATAAAGGGTTATGGAGCATAATAAAATAGGATGTTTCATAAAAAGCGAATGACGCATGTTTGATTTATAGATTTCAAAACACAATAGTTAATAAATTTTTGTTTTTATCAATAACTTTCGTGGAATAGTGCGAATAAGGTTAATCTCCCCATTTTTTGTCAAAATCAGCATAAGCCTGAAAATAATTGTTGTATTTGAATTTATAAAATAGCATTAGATAGCTCAAATACTTACCTAAAGTTTATGTTTTTAAGATTTTATACTTACTTTACGGTAGAGTTGTTAAATGATACTTTTTAAATGGATCTAGATACAGATACATCGTCTAAAATTTATCTAGATACAGTTTCTAGATACAGATACATTTAAAATGTATCTAGATACAGATAAAGTTTTTATTATACTCTTATATAAGGTTTGAATAAACCTAAATTAGAATTCTATTGTGAAAATTCATGAAATGAGCTAAAATATTTATTGACTAGATATCACATTATTAAAATATAACTAAAATAAATGGTTTTTAGATATTAATATAATATATGATTAATATAAATAATTATTAGATTTCATCAATAAAATAATATAATATATGAAAATATGTTTAAATGATTATAAATAATTAGATTTCAGTAATAAAATATTTTCAAAATTTTGGTCATTAAGGTATCCTCGTTTATCTGTAAAGACATCTTTTCTTTCCAAACTTAATGGATCTATATAGTGTGCAGTGACTCCTATGTATGAATAAAAATAACATTTCTTAAAACTGCTCAAATAATTTGTTCGTAATTAAATTATTATACAAATTTAAATGATAGTTATACCGGTGATAGGCACTCCAACAATCTGCTGTTATGCATATTAGCTTAGGTTCTATTAGAATTTCTTTTCATTTTCCCATCTTTGGGAAATTCTAGTAACCACTGTCTGTCGGCAAATTATATTTTTTTGTGAAGCTTTTTGATCATTTTTATAAATGAAGGATTTTCCCCAGTTGTAAATGGCGGAATGATATCTATAATAAAATAAGTTATTAAATCATTTATAGTGGTTTGGGTTAAAGTCTGAGGTCTCTTGGAAAAAAAATCAATGGACGACGAGCCTGGTCCAATATTTTCTTTAATAGACTTCTTCTCCTTCCCCTTTTTTATATTGATTAAAAGTGTTTGATGTTTTCTCTTAAAATTTAAAATTACTATTGTAAACATTTATTTAGTATCTATTAAATATTTTACAATGTTGCAAGTTGAGATGGTAACTGAAATTTGCGTATTTTTTGTAGACATGGCAAACATTTTACTATCAAAGATTTGTTTTCTTTATTTTGAGATATCATTTTTAAAATATGGTCCATAAATTGGCCATGGGAGAATGTCATCATTGATTATATCATCTTCTTCATAAATATTAATCTAGAAGAAAAATTAATATAATAAAATACCAATTCCATTGCAAATAAAAATGACAAATTCCTTGAGATGGATTGTAATAAATATCAGAATTTGCTTGTTATTGATAACTCGGGCATAAAATTTAATGAATATTTATATATATATATTTATATATAAGTTATAATATTATATATTTATCCAATTTTTTATTATAGTAGTCTTAATATTTTTTAATATATATATTGATATTAAGTTATATGCTAATGTGAACTAAAATAAATTTTGCATTCAAGTATTTTTAAATCTATTTAGATACAGGTACCCCATTTTTATATCTAGATTTAACAACTCTTAAAATTATAATGCAAATCCACGAAAATTAGTCGACTAATTGTCAAATTTAGCCGCTAAAGTTTTTAGTCGATTCGGAAGAAGTCGACTAATAAACAACACTATCTACAATCATAAAATAAGTAAAAAGAATAAAAACACGAAATCGCATCAGTTTTTTAAAAATATCGATCAAATCTCATTCGATATTTTATATCGGAACAGATTTAAAAATATATATACATATAACATAAATAAAACTATTATTAAAATTAGTATTTTAAACGTTTTAATAACCGATTAACTCAATATTTTATCCAGAAAAATATTACGCAAGCCTGAAGATTTTACCCATTGATGACACAAAGGTTTAGACATCTATTAGAGAAATCTCGAGGCATAGGCAATATTTTTGTTAGAATATCGAATTGGCCGTTTTTAAAAATAGGCTAAAGTCGAGCCGTATAGCACTAATTAAAATATAAAAAGTATGTAAACATAAACTATTAAAAAAATACTATATTAAATTTCAAAAAAACATATAAGGCGGTAAAAAAAACAATTGAATTTTTTAAAAAAAAGGAGTAAAATAAAGCTATCATTAAGATCCGAGAAAATTAATATAGTGGTGTCGCCTTTAACTAGCTAGTGCTGTTAAAAAACCCGATTTTGGTCTACAAAATGACCCGAGATTAAGATTTTAGCTAAAATATTATTATATAAGCATCGAAATTTGGCAAGCAAAATCTTTAGCCATACATGTTATTTTAGTTATAATCTTAATCAGCCATTTTTTAAAATCGACCCGAATTGGGCTTTTTAACAACGCTATCTTGAAAATTATGATTGAAAAACTATTTCCATGGATCGCATCTTTGAAAAAATAAATCTCAGAATCGGATTTCGTTGGAATTGGAAAAACATAGGATTTATTTTTTATTCATTTTAAAGAAAAATTTTAGAACTCTATAATGAAACTAAGAGTACCCAAATAAATTTAATAAAGTGTCTAAAATTTGCGTAAAGGTAGTGTGATTATGAATATTTTTTTAATTTTTTTTTAAATCCAAAGTAGGGCTAATTCCTACAAATATAGTGTTACAAAATATTGTTTCGATAAAATTTATTCAAAAAATAGATTATTATTTAAATGCATAAAAAGATATTAATTTTTGCATTTCAAAAATTTCTTTATACTATTAAAAAATTTATTATAATATTTAACATAGCAAAATATTTTATATGCCAGATGGCGTAAATATTATTTATGTGCATTTTTTTAAAAAAATGTAAACTGTATCTCAACTCAAAGATTGTAATAAGATAATTTTTATTTGAACAAAATGATTAATTAGAATTTTCAGACCAAGTTAAAATTAATAATTAGTGTTGTTAAACGCCTCGTTTTGAGCCGATTTTTAAAAACGGCTAACTCAGTTATTTATCCAGAAAAATATTATGCAAGCCTGAAAATTTTGCTCATAGAAGGAGCAAAGGTCTAGACATATAGTATCGAAATTTCTAGGCTTAGTTAATATTTTTCTGGCGAAAATATTGAGTTAGTCGTTTTTAAAAATCGGCTCAAAACGAGCAATTTCAACATTATTAATAATCTTTATTTTATTCACAAAGTTTGTACATTTAATCATCAAATAATTCAAATTGAACACCAATTAAACCTAGAAATAGTTAGCTTAAAGAATATATAAACAAATTTAAAATATTAAGTTGAAACCTTATTTTTAAAAAAATATCATTTCAAATCAATTGTTAATAAAATATATTTTTAAAATCTTGTTACCTCCAATATGACTTGTGGAAGTTAATTTGTATTTAGACAAAAGCTCATTACATTGAGTAATATAGATCACTTTTTTTTATTTAGGTTGCTCTTTAGGTTTCTTATTTTAAATGTAATCTCAACTCTTGTAATTCTTGCTAAAATAATACTCTACTCTATACAGTATAATATTAAAAGAATGTTACTAACATGTATCTTTACGGTTGTAATTAATTATGAGTAAATATATTTAAAAAATATATAAATATTAGAGCAATAATTGTGCACGTTATAAGTAGAACACTAGAAAGAATATTCCTTCCTTCTTTCTTTATAATTAATTAAATATTTGTACATTTATAAACACATTTTATTTTTCAATTAATTCCTTAGTTATTTAATAAAATGAGTATTAAAAAAAAGTATATAAATAGTGTATTACAATCGAAGCAAATAATAACATCTAAAAGAATTTATATTCTACAATCCTTAAACGCGATATAATTTTTGATGACTTGAGGCAAACAATGGAGAGATGATGACGCGTCTTCGATAATATGATCGTCCCACGAATATTGGGGCATGCAAAGATGTATGTATTCTAATTTTATAGAGGAATTTGGAGGACTAAACAAATACCATCGTCTCAATCGAAGGCGGCACATGTGTTGTAAATCTTACCGGAAGCAAAAAATAATAATGAAATATAGGAATACATCAGAGTTGCAAAGATACTTTCAATAATCGATACAAGTGACCGATACTCAAAATAATCATTCATTTATTTTTGTAAGACAACGAATTTATAGGAAAAAATGATATACAAATTTCTAAAAACAGACTAGAAGAAAGTAAGCGTTGTTAATTATTTTCCAATTTCTTCTTATTTTTTCTAACTTTCGAAAATTTTGTTTGCAAAATTAAGCATTATAGAGAAGAATAAACCATATAAAAAAATAATAAATTCGGACAGATATATATAAGAGTGGGTAATAAATAATTATAATTTAAAAAGTAAAAAATTTTTTAACTCGCTATATTTTTAGGCTCCAGAGAACCATCATAAGCGGTATTACTGTCTATCAGCAAATCGGCTCTTGGGTAGTTGCACGATCGAGTTGAGAATTTTAACATGATTGGATATGCTCTTCCATAATAGTTTTGCATTATGCTTTTGAAACTAGAAAAAAAATAATAAAAGGAGATAACTATATATGGTTTTTTCTACGGCAATGTGTTATTTTTTCAACTTTAAATATTTTGAGCGCTTATTTTTTTAAATATAAAAGTCTAATTTTAACGGAAATGATGGAATACCAACCTTATGAATTTTGGAACAATTTTTTGTCATGAACTTTCGAACTTAATTAATTTATACTACTCGTTTTTCCATAATGATTCAAAGATTACCGACAAGGTTATATTTAATTCGTAAGATAGATATTCTAAGCATGCTGGAATACATATCAGTTGAAATCAGATTATTAAATTTTAAAAAACATATCCCAAAAATGATTTAAAAGTTTTAAAAAAAAATAAGCCGAAAAAAACACATTTGACGCTAACATATATATTATTAAACTTGTTTGCGCTTGTATTTGTAACTTCCGGTTCTTTTGTGTTAACATGATTTTCCAGGTAATCTCGACTGTGATCTAAAAGCGTACGCCGATCTTTGGTCCGCGTAAATCTCGCATAATCTATATCCGGTTTATGGGTAATTTCTCCAAAATAATGGTCAATGGGCAGGTCAGGATCCAAGTACCCAATTTTTATAAAGTCGAATATAACGTCGAATGTGGTTGAATTGCACCAAGTAAAAACGGGTAACATATATATTAAATAAGCGGGATTAACTAGTTTGATGGTGGATAAAAGAGTTCTAATGTATTTAAATGGGATGTTAGAGGACGATAATATGGAAGCGGCAAGGTGGTCTATTATTTGGGAACTGGAGACATAGCTGCAAGTGGACGATTCATCATATTCGAAAAATGACTTGATCGATAAAATATAGATATTTTTTTTTAATTATTCGATATTCACGATTTTGGCAAAATCATTAAAATTATACCAGCTTACATGTCTTAATAATAGTGTTGTTAAACGACTCGTTTTGAACCGATTTTTAAAAATGACTAACTCAATATTTTAGCCAGAAAAATATTGCCTAGTTAATAGATATCCAAAAATGTGTTCCTTCTACAAACAAAATCTTGAGGCTTGCCTAATATTATTCTGGAGGAAATATTGAGTTGGCCGTTTTTAAAAATGGACTCAAAACGAGCCGTTTAACAACGCTACTTAATAATGATTAACTTTGGATGGAAAAAAAAGAGTGTTGCCATTTAAATAATCATAAGATTACCGGCTTAGTAATAAAAATGTAGCAATTCAAAATATTTAGTAGTATTTTCGACAGATATTTTTGTATTACAGTAAACATATATTAGTAGTAATTTGGCTATTCTATTATTTTTGTGTATGCAAATTCATTAGGATAATGCCAAAATAATCAAAAATATACAATTTAATACATAACAGAATATTTAATGAATATGGTTGATTTTATTCAGAGACGCCCTGATATCGGGTATGGGCTCGATAACAAATTTTCAACCCTATAAAGTTAACCGAATAATTCTTCCAATGTGATTTGGCACTAAAAAAAATTATATTTCCTTCCACAAAAGCCATTAAATTTTATTTTCCGGACTGATATATAAAAAAATTTTTTTTTTAAATCGCTTTTAGGTTAATCCGTCAGATAAATAGTGTGTCCTAATTCCAAAGCTATTTAGTCAAGGGACTACATAGAAATAAGTATGAGGAATAAGACAAACCAAGACAAGTCTTATTACTTTTATAGTTCTTGTCGACTAAATATTATAATGTTCCATACCTATTTTTTAAAGATAATTTTTCAGGGAGAACATTTTTAAAAACAAAATATTATTTGTTAATTTAGAGAGAAAATTTTATACCATAATAAAATAATACGCAAATAAAAGAATTACCTAGATAATATTTTAACCCATTTTTATTGGAGATATGGAGGAATAACAGTACTTAAAGGAATTGATTTATCAGAAAAAATCTCCATTTTGCAAAAATATGAAGTTAGAACACTATAATATTCAACCGACGCTATGGCCAACTCCAAAACGACCAAGTTTCACGCTATTCTCGTTTCCCATCAATTAAAATTTTATGGAAAATCAATATGTTATATTTATGGGAAATTAAAATGGTGTGTTATCAGCCGACTTGTAATTCAGCGACACCTTTGTTCAAACATTATTTTAATTAATAAAGTTTAGTTAATCATTATTATTATTGTGTTATTGCTTTGAATTTAAAATATTATTTACAAAAATATATAAACAAATGATTTACAAAAAGGAAAAAAAAAATAACTTGAAAAATTGTAATTTTTTTTTCAAATATAGAGTACGATAGTGGAGAAAAAAAGTATATCCCTTGTTGAGTATAATCATAAATAATTTCTTCTAACTGTAGATGTAGATTAATGTCGATCAAAAAGTTTTCCAAAGAAAAATGGTAATTTGATAAAAGTATATTTATTGAAGAGTCTTTATAATGGTCTATAAGGAATAGAAAAATGTTGATAACATCCTTAGATTGAAGCCCAATAATGTTGGAAACTGGTGGTAGCAAGCACTTTATACAACTATATTAAATACAATAATAGTATGTGATTTATTTACATTTGTTAAGTCATGGAAAAGGCCTCTGCAGGTTGACCCAAAGCCTGGCCTGATTATTTTTTTTTTAATGAGATGGGAAGGGGCTTGGGATTAAATTTATAAAGATAATTGGGCCATGGTAGGCTTGAGCTTAAAAAATATGACATTGGCATAAACACAAAGACATTAAAGGCTTATATCATATTTATTTATAAAAATTTGTTTAACCCTTTCGCGCCCAGCGAGATCATTTGTCACCAAAATTTTTAATCAATTAATTTTTATATTTAAAAAACGAATAGTTGCTATTTAGACACATTAATTTACAAAACAATATTTATTCTTTCATATTTAATCATTAACCTGTCAAAATCATTATTTTATTATATCAGAATATAAGTTCAAAGTTAGGTATTTTAGGCGCCAAAATTTTTACACTTTTACATCGATTACCATTCTATATAAATATATGTAAATCAAAGGTAAATAATATTTTTATGATAGATTATTACTAGTATTTCATGTTTAGTAAAAAAAAATTAACAATAACTATTTTTTATATGATTTTTTAAAGAAAATCCAAATTGGTAACATTGGGATTTTCTTATGTAATTTTTTCCATAAATTTTTTAAAATTAAATATTGAAAATATGATATAGTAAGAATTGAATATAGGCTATTTTCCATTTAGCAAGCCACTATAATATTTGCAAAAAGTTAAGAAAGTGAAAATTTTATTTTATATTTTTTTAAAAATATTATAAATAATCTTTAGATGACCTCAACATGTATTATACCAGAGGGAGATATATCTGATGTAGATATTGAGAAGGATGATAACTTTGAAAATGCCACAGTAGTTGATCTAAATATGACTTATGATATTTTACCAGATATTGGGTTGAACTGGAAAATTATGATAATGATATTATCCCAAGTAATAGGAAAACCCTATGGCGAAATAAGGATTTATATAAATATAATACAGAATTTAAACAAGAATTTTTGCCTCTACCTGATAAGGAAATTTCGCCTTACAAATATTTTAAAAAATTTATAGACGATGATATTATTAACAATTTAGTAGAGCAAACGAATATTTATTCTTTTCAATTATCTGGCAAATCAACAAAAACAAATAGTAGTGAAATTGAAAAATTTCTCGGAATTCACCTTTATACGGGCATTGTTAAATTGCCATCAATAAGGCAATATTGGGCTATAGAGACAGTGATTCCTCAAATTTCTCAATGCATGACAAGAAACAGATTCTTGGAATTGAGAAAATAATTTCATATTAATGATAATAATAATATAATCCTTAGGGGCCAGCCTAATTACGATAAACTTTTCAAACTAATACCATTTATTAGTGCATTAAAAATGAACATGAGAAAGATTCAATTAGAGGAAAAATTATCAATTGATGAAATGATAGTCCCCTTCAAAGGGCGATGTGAATTTAAATAATATATTAGCTCAAAACCGCATAAATGGGGAATTAAAATTTTCGCTTTATGTGGATCATCTGGAAGGCTATATGATTTCGAAATATATTTAGGGAAATGCACAAATATAAAAAAACTTTGATGGGAATTAGTGGAGATATTGTTATACGACTATTAGAAACTGTTCCCCCACATAAAAATCATAAAATTTACATGGATAACCTTTTTTCTTCATATAATTTAGCAGTTGCGCTCAAAGATAATGGCTTTATCATGTCGGGACCATTAGATCTAATCGATTATTAGGATGCCATCTGGTTGATGATAAAATCTTAAAGAAAAAAGGAAGAGGGTCCCTTGATTATAAAGTGGATTCTAATAATAATATTATAATTTGCAAATGGTTTGATAACAAATCGGTTATCATGATATCATCATTTATGGGTATAAATCCCACATCACAAACGAAAAGATGGTCGGTATCTGAAAAATCTTTTATTAATGTCGAAATTCCGGCTATAATTCAAGATTATAATGTTGGTATGGGCGGAGTGGATCTCCATGATATGTTAATTGAACTATACAGAATTGACATAAAATGGAAGAGCTTTTACATGCGAATTTTCTTTCATTTATTAGATTCCTGTGTGGTGAATTCGTGATTACTCTATAGACGCCACATCAAACAGAAAGATGATAAATATATATCTCTTTTAGCGTTTAAAGCTCGGATAACTAAAGGATCAATGATGGTTGGAAAGGAAAATTATGGAAAAGAAGGTAAACATAATTTGAAGATTGAAAAAAAAGAAAGAAATTGAATAGTTTTCATCCAATCCCAGATATTAGATTCGATAAAATAGGGCATTGGCCCTCGGCGGCTAACAGACAAAGATGCAAGAATTACAAAAATGGTTATACCAGATTTGAATGTTTAAAATGTAAAATATCTTTATGTTTAAATAAAAATCGCAATTGTTATATTTCTTATCATTCAAAATAAATTGTATATTTTTTTACATATGAATATCCCAATGATGACAATTGGTAACATTTTATAATTCTATATATTTACACTTTTTAAAATAAAAAACGTTGAAAATATGTTATTTGCATCTTATTTATCTCAGTTTTAGAAGAAAAAAATTTTTTGTTCATGGGAAATATGTCGGGCGCAAAAGGGTTAAATTAAGGCTAGGCCTAAAAATTTGGGGACTGCTTAGATATAAATATTAGGACAATCTGTAAAATTATCCTATTATAAGAGTTTTCTTATAATTATATTTTTTTAATCAAATAATTTTAAAAATAATTAGTTTTCTGTCATATTTATATATTAATTTAAACTCCTTGTTCTCCTTAAGGCAAGCCATATGCAGAGGCAAACTTCCATCGTAGCCTTTTATATTTGAATCTGCTTTCCATTTTAACAACTCCTTAACACACTTCACAAAATTATATTGAGCTGCTATAAAAAGTGGAGTTGCACCATCACTAGTTTGACAGTTGATTATTCCCACTATATAATTATAAGTAACTGTAGACTAATTATTCATATTCCAACTTTTATCTGTCCGATCAACAATAATTTCTAAAATCAATTTCAAAATTTCATAATGTCCATTTTGAGCAGCAATAAATATTGCATTCCTATTATAAGAATCTTTGCACAAAACATCAGCTCCATTCTTTAATAATATATTAACAACTTCAAAACTACCTTTTTTCAAAATAATTTAAAATAATAATAAAATATACCTTTATCAACAGCTTCTAATAATGGGGTGTAATGATAACAAGATACTAGGTTAATATTAGCACCATTTTGTATTAAAAGATTAACAACTATAATATCATCACACACTACTGCAGTATATAATGGTGAACATAATTCATGATTTAATATATTAACGTCACAATTCATCTTAATTAGTAATCTTACTACATTCAAATATCTACTAGCAACAGCAAGATGAAAGGGGGTCATGCCTTCATGTGTCTGAGAATCAATCATTTTTCTATCTAATTAATTTTTAAAAAGCATGTATAAATTTTACTGTCAACAATTTTATTTTGAAATAGTAATATATAAGTTGTACTTTGTTTTAATAATAATTTAACACATTCTATATTGCCACAAGCTGAAGCCTCATGCAAAGGTAACCATCCTTGATTATTTGCAGCATCATAAACCGCTCCATCTTCAAGTAATTTTTTTAGGACAATATAATTTCCTTCCTTAGCTAGCTTGCCAACAGTAGAGCATGTATCGTCATATATTTCGGAAAATTCCATCCATCATAATATCATATATCTTTTTTATAAATTTTTAGAATTAAATAACAGCTGATATAGGAATATACGTGATACGTGATATATAGCGCTTATGCCCTCTAGTGTTGAAATGCAACAGAGCTACGCTAGGTTTTCCTCATTTCCATCTTATTGGAACAGTTAAATTTGGGTGTAAAAGTTAAAATATGAGGAGCCCTCCACACGTTTGTGGGCAAGCCGTACGTACTTGTAGGCGCAACATTCCGAAAAATATTACTTAAACCTCTATAGGCTTATATAAAAGGGAATGGGACAAAAAAAGAGCCTATACCCGATAACTACAGTGAAAGTTAATTACGTTGTGGTGGGTTAAGGACAATTTACCATTAAAAATCTTTACTATATTAAAACACTTTTTGGTAAGTAAAATAAAATATACTTATGAGAGGATTAGGATGTATGATGGTATTGGGAAAGTTTGATAATGATGAGTAGTTTTTGAAATTTATTACTCTGGTAGTATACGATAGGATTAATGGGTGATGATAATGTAACATACATTCTGAGAATGTATTATGTACTTATTGAAGGTAGCTTTTCTTGATGCGAAATAGTTTTTTAATGGATCTTTTATTGTTATTCAGTCTAATGAATTGTTTCATGTTAACATTTAGATCCATTATATCTTTTATGGTTTTATAGTACCATAATGATTTGTATTTTGTGTACTGTTTACCTTTATACGAGTACAGCCATGTTATGGCATCGTGGACTAAACTATTATCAGAGTTTCTTATTACATGGCCTAATAACTGGATCCGTCTTTTCCTAAGAGTAATATTCACTGGAGTGTGAGTAGACTTCCTCCAAAGATTCGAGTTAGAGATTACTCTTGGGTAGAAAATCCCGTGTATCGTACGCAGACAATTATTTATGAAAGATTGAAGCCGTCTGATCTCTGTTTTTTTTGCCTCCCAGATATCTCCACCGTATAATGCAATTGGAACAATCAACGAGTTGAATATTCTCAATCTAGTGAACACTGAAATTTCACTAGCTTTCCATATTTTCATATATCTGTAGAAAGCACCTCTAGCTTTCTGTATCCTCATCTTCATCTCATCTTTACAGCTACCTTTGTTATCCAAGATTACCCCTAAGTATTTTATATTCTCTACTATTTTCACTGTATTCGTTCCAACTGTAAAATCCTGGATTGAAGGCGCGTTTGGGGAGGGAAGAATAACCGTTTTGTTAAAGTTGATCCTAAGGCCAGCTCTATAGCTCACTGTCTCGATTAGATAAAGTAGATTTTTGGTCTCTTCGATACTTTTCGAAATCACTACAATATCGTCTGCATAGGATATTATCCTGTTAACGAAAAAAATTTTCTCGTTTGATCCTATGTCTACTAGATCTGCAGCTCCTAATACTTCTTTTATTATTTTATTGATGATTATGTTGAACAGGAGAGGTGAGAGGGTACAGCCCTGTTTTACTCCTTTCTTAATCCTGAAAAAGGGGGAGGTTTTATTATTTATTTTGAAACAAGCGAATAAATTCGAATAGTGATATTTCAAGATACGAATTATCTGGGTTTCAATACCACATTCTACGAGCGTTTCCCACAACGCTTCATGATTAACATTATCAAATGCTCTACTGAAATCAATAAATGTGTAAAATGACGGAATCTTATATCTATAACACTTTTGCATTATTATCTTCAGAGATAATATGGGTTCTAGTATATTTTTATTAGGCCTGTAAGCACAAATATATTTAGAAAAAAGATTGGGCGTCGAATGAACAATCTTATTCTTCATAAGTACCATAAATATCTTTGCAACACAAGATGTTAAAGCGCACGCCCGATAATCGGTGAATTTCAGGGGGTTTGCAGTTTTGGGAAAATTGCATATAAGGGACTTGTTCCATTCCGTAGGGGTGCTTCCATTTTCCCATATTTTATTGAATAGGGCTAGTAGAAAAGAAGATGTCGTTCTAGGTGCGATCTTCAGATGTTCCGCCGTAATGTTGTCAAGCCCCGGAGCTTTATTGTTTCGTAATTTCTTTATTACATTCATAATTTCCACTAAGGTGAAACCAGACTGGGGTGGAGCCATAATTATATTTACATTTGTTGCTCTAGTTACTTTACGTCCATCGAACACCGTAATATAGTAGTCGAGCCACAGCGCCATCTGTTCATCTTGATCAATTATTATTTTACCATGAAACATAATATAATCGAATAGATTGTAGTCCCGATCAATTTTAAAAAATAGCCCGATTAAGATTTCCTCAAAAAAATATTAGATTTATTTCATAGATAGCAGAGATGTTTGAACCATTATTTCCTAAATGGCCTACGGTTATTATTTTGACTAAAATCCTAATTTGGCCGTTTTTTGAATCCAAATTGGGGTTTTAACAACAATAAGTGAAATAAAAATATAATTTTGGAATGGACTATAAATTCAGCATAAGCTAATTTCAGCATCTACATGAGCGGGAGGGGTAGGAACAGTTCATCCTATTTTTTTGAGGAGGTAGGGGGTAATCTGCTTTAATGGGGGTAGAATAAATTTTTGGGGGGGTTATCTATTAAATTTTGAGATGATATAGGACAAAATTTAATGCTGTAAAAATTAATACTTTTATTATAGTATTATTATAATACAATTCATCAACCAAATCTATATATTGCAAACAATCACACACATTGTTTTCCAAATAAACTATCCTTTTAAATGTAATTTAAAAGGTTTAGATATTTCAGCAAGCTCATAATGGCATAATAATTAATTCATTGTAAATAATGGAGGTTTTAATTGAATTTATTATCTAAAAAATAAATTCTTTATATTCACAAAATATAGATAGTTGGTAGTAGAGATAGATTAATTTAAGTTATCCTTTATAAATTCTTTGAAAAGAGTATCAATTAATAAATAGGTGAAAATAATGATAATGAGACACCGCCGCCGAAGGTGTTGTGTATTTTTTAGGGGGTTAGGCAAAGGTTTTGAAGGGGGTTTGCGCATCCAGTGAAAATCCTGTCACGTAGACGCTGGCTAATCTAATATATAAAGGGGATTTACAAATGTAACTTCTGGCAAAAGTTGCATGCAAGTATAAATTTTATTTATAATCAGGATTACAGATAAACATTGAATTATATAACATGTTATTTGAAGGTATTAAATCACATAATGTAGTTCTGGCTCTAAACGGTTACAGATACTAAACTATTTGGTCACATAAAATTTAAATGTTTTTTTCTTCTTTATATATTGAGATTGACTAAATTATAAACCATGCCGTCCCTCTAGTTCAGGTTTCCTTCTGGGGTGGGATGTAGCCTAGGAAATGACACGGATCAGAGATGACCATGTATCACAAATAGTGATAAGCAACAAATGGCGACGTATCACAGAGTAGAGATATATAGATATGGGCTGAGTCCATAGACGTAACCAGAATTTTCTTAAGGGGGGGGGGGGGAATTAAAAATTTATGGAAGCTTTGCCCCCAGACCCCATTTTGAGCGGGCCTTCAGCCCTCGTTTGCCCGGCCTTCGGCCGAGTTACCTTAGTCTATATATAGTCATAAAATATTTTTACAAGATAGGAGGTTAATTTTAATAAAAAAAAAATAAGCCTGGAACAAATATGAAATATATTTTTATTAGTTTCTACGAAATATAATAAATTACTTGTATATACATTAATATAAATTACTTGTATATACATTAATATAAAAGCATGGTAATAATTTATTCCAAACAAGTATAAGAAATCAAATATAAAAAATTTATTTATAAAAAATTTATTTATAAAAAGTAAGTAGACATATAGTTGATATTCCTCTATTATATAAAATTGGTTAAATACTAGGTAAAATTCTACTTTTACAGACATATTTGACAGTCAGAGAATATATTGTAGTTAATATTTAAGCAAATTTTACTAATCAATGCTCTTGATAATAAATATAGCAACAATTTGCACTCAACGCCATCTATTTTCTCTAAATAAAAAAGGATATTAAAATTAATCTTTATATTATTCATCCCACAATGTCTTTATAAGATATTTTTTATGCCCCTATCAATATTTTATAGTTTTATGTAAAATATATAATTTGCTATATTGGTAAAAATTATTTGATTGTCATATGATAATTGATAAAATTTACGACATATAATATTCCCATTGAATATTCCACTGTTTGTATTGTGCTTTAATTTTTTTTATTTAATTTATGATTTAATTTTATTAATAGTTTTATAATTTTATTTTACTTTTATTAGGATAAATAAATTAAAATTACTCACTTTATAAAAAATTATATTTGATAAATTATAATATTTAGTAATTTTATGGATCTATTATATTAATTATAATACATTTCACTTTAGTCTTATGACTTATCTTTGGCTTATATTACATTTGTTTAAAAACATTTTTGGTTCACTTTTTTTTAAATATAAGCTTTTTTCCAAAAATGTATAAATTATGATGAATAGTTTTAGTTTAAAAAAATATCAACTTTTACATTCTTTCTTTCAAATTAATGATTAAGATATATGCATACATTTTTGGGGATCAGGGAGGGGGGTGGAGGACTAAGGGGAATATTTTTTATTAGCTTAAAATGTTATTCACAAAAAGTGATAAATTTCTAAAGGGGGGTAATTTCCCCTTTCCCCTTTCTCCCGGCTACGCCTATGGCTGAGTCATTGGACTGAGTAGATAAAATAAAAAAAATTTATTAATGTTTGCTATAATATAAATGATAAGTAGCTAATTTTATTGAGCAGGAACAATGATAAATAAAAATTATACAAATATTTACTAATATTATTTAAAATAATAAGGATAATACGAATAAAGACGAATCTTGTTCGGAGAACTAAATTGTGTGGGTATACTAATTGTAATTGGTAACCTTTAAAAAAAAGTAGGACCCTGCAGAATACATAGAGCTGGAAACCAAAATTAAAAACTCAATAGTAACATAATATTTCAAAATTTTGGTATTAGGTGTATACAATATTTAATATATCTTGTTTTGGCATATTATTGCTACTGATTTATATTGGTTTATATTGTTATTGTTTTAACTTCAAATTATTAAAAGAATAAAATAGTGATTTAAAAAAAAACATTGTTTAGATAAATTAGGAGTTATATTATAAAACCTTAAATGTAATTTTTTTTAAAAAATATTATATTGTAAAAAAAAAATATGAAGTAATATGGTTTTGGAAAGCTGAACCTAAGTATTTATTTTGATTTCATATCAAATAATAATTCAGAATTAAAATATTAATCCGTATGCAATCAAATAAAAAATAAATAAATAGCATGATTTTAAAACTTTTATTCAATGAGCAAAAAATTAGTAATATTAGATAAAGTAATATGTTTTTGAGATTCTTTAAAATGCTTGGATCGTTAGTTCACATAGTGAACAACGTTTATCAGTTTTAATATAACTCTCTTCCAAAAATATCCTTTCAGAGATTATCTAGAATGCTGAAATTGCCAGATAATTTCTAGCACTTTTTGATAATATAATATATAGTATACATATTTTGATGTATTTTTTACCATTTAAGGAGATTTTTCTCTTTGGAAATGTGGTTTCATAATTATTTATCTCAACTAAGCTATTATTATCAAAGCTAAAAAATTTTTCGACTTATATATTTTTTTTATAAAAGGTTTATTTGTTTTATTTACTCTTTAGAATTTTTTTTAGATTAAGTGGATATTATATTTTATGTCTATAATAATAATGAGTAACTTTATTTTATCAAGGAGAGAGTATTTAATAAATAAATTCAAAATAAATAAATCTTTAAATAAAATAAATTTGTAAAATATAAGGAGTAGCAGTTTTTTAATAAATTATCCTATCTGGAAAATATAAATATGAAAATAATATTAACCTAAAATATTTGAGGAATATAAAGTAAAACTTAATTTTCTTATAAATTTAAATATAGATGATTTTGTAAAAATAATAATGTCCACATTACGTACATGACATAGTGAAGACATCGGAAAAATATAATATAGATATAATACTCTATGTATCAGATAAGTAACCAAATAGCCTTACCATTAAGTTTTATAATCTGAATACTTCAAATAATATATTTTTTAATATGAATATTAAATCAACTAAATGGATATAAATCATCTCTTAGATTAAAATTGAATATTTAAGTCTAAAATTCATATCCTGCTTTACTCATCTATACCCACCTCTTATTATAATTTAAAAGTTACATAGTGCAAATATTTAATATCAATATTACTAATAACCTGAGTAGGAGTCTTACAGTTTAATATTAAGTAAGTATTTTTTTAAAATTTATTAAATAGATCAAAATTGCTTTCTTCTCATCAGCCATGTTTTAAAATATATTGATATGTATTTTAATTTATTTTAACAACTTCTCTATTAAGAGATAGAACCATATATAGTTTCCAATATAGTTCACGCTATTGGAATTATAATAATTATAATTTTAGCTTCTATATTATAGATGATCATCCTTCCTACCAATTTATTTCTTCCATTTTATCTTAGATAGGTGAAGGGATAAATATTTATTTTTACATTGTCTTATAACAATTGGGGAATCTTTTTCTCTCCACAATATGATTTTAATTTTTGATTGATAAAATTATAATTAATACACTATCAAGTTGTATATTAGAATAAGATTAAATAATAGGATCCTGATTACTGTAACAAGGATTGAATAAACATAGAAAATTTTTCCTTACGGCACATAATATAAACACATCATCAATAATTAAGGAATATGAAAAATTCCTTAAACATAAAAATATATGAGAAAAAAACAATGAATTAACAAGCAAAATTGTCAGTTACATTATTATTATATTATATGATTGGATGATATACATTTAAAATCGGCAACGGAACTTATAAATTACCAGTATACTCAGCGTCTACATAAGCGGGAAAGGTAGGAACAGTTTGCATTCAATTTTTTTGAGAGAGATAGGGGGCATGATTTATGGGTGGAGGTAGGATAAATTTTTTCAGGGTGTCTATTTAGATGAAATAGATTTAGTTATTATACCCACACTCCCCCATCCCAAAAATAATTTTGTAAATATAAACCAAAATTTTTATGAGCTCCATGAGGTTATAATGACTAATGACGCCCATGCTCTAAAATATCCGAAAACAAAGTAATCTAGTACACTTATCAAATGGCATTAAAATATAGACATGAAATTCCTGAAAACATTTCATAGCTCATAAAAAATTGTTAGATATCTTTAGGTATATTCAATTAAGCCACTAGCGCCACTACTAGAGGGTGGGGCAAGCTCATGGGGGCAAAAATTTAAGAGTCTCCTCAAAATTTTGAATCTTTTTATGCCACTAAAAAAAAGGGTAAGTCGACTAATAAAAAAAGCAGGTAATTTTAGATAATGTTAGCTAAAAAAGTAATTATTAATAATGTTAGCTAAAAATGTAATTATTAATAATGTTAGCTAAAAAATGAAGGTAATTTTGAAAATAATTAAATTGAACCCTCTGAGAGATTGTAAAGGCTAGTATACCTCCAGAATATAACCTGTAGATTGAATAAATTCCTATAAATTGGTTGTACCCAAACTCGCAAAAAATTAAATTTTTATGAATGTAAGATTATTATCATCCATCTAAATATGCTATATTTCTTTAAAGAAATTTATGTTGCAATAATGTAGTATATTAATAATCATCTAAAAATGATTTAAATGCATATATAAATTCGTTTTAACTTCATAATAGATATAATTTATTTACTGCACACTGTCTTACGTATATATAGAGTATTTCATCATTAAGGGTTACTACGGTGTACTGTCACACAAACCCGTATGTTTATGCTTTAAACATTAGTTAGAAATGGTTCATACATTCATCTAAACTATCTTAATGACCGATTTCAAAACCTCAAGAATCTCACTTAGCACTATAAATTCATCTCAAGATTCTAATATATTATCAAACATAAATAACAGCGATAAAAGTATTAATATAAACGAATTAAAACAACAAAGAAAATCTTTTCGAAAAGATTTTGGCACTTTTACCCAACGCCTCAAATCTAAAAATGTTAATGGTATAGTTTAGCTGTTTGAATATTTTATATATTGACATAATTAGATTCTGATGATGCCAAATTTTCAGCCTTAACATCTGGTGTTGAATATAATTGTAAATTTATAGGAAATGAGAATGTAAAAGAATTGAGGGGAAAACTTATCTGCCAGGAAGCTTTACAGAGCCTAAAAGTACTCTACAATCATAATACTAATCTATATTTTATTATTAGGCCAAGTTAAAGACAGATAATGCTCATAAACCCAAAATAATATTTAAAATATCATTGATTGGAATTAGTATTTTTGATGCTAAAAATAAAGTTTTTTAAAAATTTAATATCTAATTTATTAATTTAAAAAAATTAGATTTTGATGCACAAACACCCGGTAAACCGAATTTCTTTTGTTTCTAAAGATTCAAAAGATAATAAATGCTTTGGTTACATTGTTTCACTTGAAGATAAATCTATTAAATATTTTGGATTTAAAGCTGAAAAATCAGTTTGATAACATAATGATTGTTATTTATTTTTAAATGCTTTAAGGCTGAAACAATTGTAACTAGTATCCATGATCTATTTATGGTTATTAAAGATCTAAAATCAAAAATTAACAGCAATATTAATGGAAGCAATAAAGATAATATAAGTATTGTGTCATCCTCATTTGCCGATCATTTGTCTACCTCATCAAATACACCCGATAATTTTTTTCAAAGTCCATCTATACCTCCAGATCTTTTATCCCTCACAGATAATGTATTATAATTTGTTATAATGTTTTTACCTTAAGAAATATGAGTGAATGATGTAATTATACATCAGATTATTATCTGAATGAGTAGAAAATTTTAAATATATTTAGATACACTTAAATATTTTTGTTACCATTTAATGTGAACATCTTTTAAGATAATCAATTAAATATGCATGATTTGGTTGTATTGTAAGACCTTATAAGTCATAGCTGAGCTGACATTTTTATTTTTGTTTATTTATAAATTCTCTAGTATCTCAATTGAACCACTTTAAAAAATATATATCATAGACCTGCAGTGGTATCATATGCACAGCCTGGTCCAGTTTTTAAAAAAAATTTATACCTGAACATTGAAAATTTTTTTTGGTTGGCCCAGGTATAGCTAAAAAAGTTAAAATACAGCCCAAACTATGTACCCAGTATGGGCTTAGGGCTGGGCCAAGCCTGCAGGTCTTGGATATATATATTAATTATTAAAATGTATCATTAATAATGATTCAAATAGATTTTGCTTCTTCCAAAAATACTTATTTGTGGGATGCCTGACATGGGGCATATTTAATTATATAGCCTTTGTCATGTCAGCCATACAATTTCTTTTTACACCTTCCATCTTATTGCTGATTCGAATATGATTGTAGTTGTAATATATTCGCTATCTTATTTTGTAGGCTTAATGTAGAACTATGCAAATTCATTTTTTTTGGCCACAATTTAGCCCAAAAATTTGTATTTATTTTTAAGCCTAGTCTCGCCAAATTTTTTATTTATTTTTATTGCCCTAATCCCATAAAAATTCTATTAATTGTTTTATAATAATTTTGGGCTTTTTTGCCTACTGACTTTAAAACTGGGCATAATGTCAAGTCAATTTGCAGGGTTTTCACCTGATTTCAAAAAGGGCATCTTATTCCTGATATCTATTAAAAGTGTTAGGAAGTTTTTTATGTCTCATAATTTATATTTTAATATTTTGTCTTTAAACAAAATACATAATAACAGAGTTCGAAAGAAAATTCTGCAAAGATTTTTTGCCCAAAATTTTCAGCAAAATTTTTTTTTTTAGAAATTTAGGTAAAATTTGATTAAAAAAATATCTTCATAGAACAAGAATCTTTAAAGATTTTTTTTATTCTGAAGAGCATTAGATGGTTCTTGAGTTTTATTTGGAATTTTAATTTTTAATGTTGATAAATGACTAAAAAAAGCAAGCTTCTAATAAGAACTATAAAGTCAGTTCCCATGACTTATGGTGACACCTTTTAAAAAAATATATGATTATCAATGACATATAATAATACCTAGACTAACGACACATTCATTAAAAGTGTACATCAATGAAAAACAGCTTGGGGACGATAAAAAAAATTAAAATTTTAATTTAAGCAAAGTAAAATATAATACCTCACAATTATTCTAAAACTATTCTCAAAAGGAAATAAGTATTTAGCACACCAAATTTAAAGTATTCTGGACCCCATACAGGTTACCGAAATGGCGTGTCACATAGTCTCCAGCTGATTTGCATTCAACGACGTTGAAATGCATTATTATGAATGAATCGTCAGTCTAGGTATTATCATATGTCATTGATAATAATAAAATATTTAAAATTTTATTCATTATGGTACACTTAATATAAAAAATAAATTAATATCAAATTTTTAAGCTCATGTCACCTCAACCGAATACAGTTAACAATTCTTTCCCCCGCATTTCTAACAGTATCCCTCCACTATCACCTGTAAATACGCTTAATCAAACTAACCCCATTTCCCTCATCAACCCACCATCATATAGTCATGGAAGCAGAGATGATGCATTTAATTATATTTTCGACGTACAAACCCCTGTGTTACCCACACAATTAAAGCATCCATCCTCGGTAGAAATACCCCCAAGAATCGCCCCTCAAGTAGAGGCCCTTAATTCACCCGAAATTTTTTACCCCTCAACAAATCCTCAAAACAGCCCAGAACGAACTGGCGCCGAATTTAATGGCTCTGGAAGCGTCCGCTATGACTATTCCTCTTCGTCTGACGATATTCTGGAAGATCAGATGGAGCCGCCATCTTTACCACCACCTCCACTCCCTTCTCATATTTTAGAAATTCCTAACTTGGCTCCACCACCTCTTCCTCCTCGTCCTTCCGTGACATCTAATTCTTGGGTCAATTTTGGATCGTTCGATTCCAATCCTATAAATACTCCTAACCCTTCTTCGTTGCTTCGGAAAGTTGTGGATAGAGAAGAACAAATTTATTCTAATATAGCTACCGAAAATGTATACGTTTCTCGTGGAATGAAGAATACTAATTTAAATCTCAAAAAAGATATTTTTGAGTTTGGCCCTACGACGGCGAATAATACGAATTCGTTATGCATAGTCAATCCTGGTGCAATTAGATTCAATCCTGTATTTCCCGATGATACATCCAATTACCTTCCTACCGGCAAAAATAACACTAACAAGCCCTACATAACTAAGGGTAAACGAGATCCAACAAATTTCCAGAAAGATTCTGCAAATATGTCTCGAGGAAGTTCATCTTCATCCCTCGGATCTTACAACGAAGATTTAGCTCCCACCTTAGTTGTTGACCAAAACAAGTTAGAAAATCAAGAAAACGCAACGAATTCCAATACGAAATCGATAGGTAACTTTACTATTGAAATATTAATTTATAGAGGAGGGAAGGAAGAAAGAGATAAATATAATATAAGGTGAGATTTTGGAGATTTAAACTATTAAGACTTCTTCTAGAACTGACTCTTAATGTTTTATGTTTTAATGAATAATCTTGTTCGAATTCTTGTTAAATAATCTATCCATATTTATAATTGGCGTATTATTTCGTTGACATTATTATTGTGTACATCACTAGGACATGGTAGCGGATATGAGCTGGTGAGCCCCCTTAAAATCATACCGATATTTTTTTTTCTCATTTTAACTAAATTTCGTAAGTCCTTATTTTTTATGGATTCAAACTCTAAACCCGAGCCTGGTTTAGGGATTTTTCACTAAACGCAACCTGAACTCCCTTCCTTTTCCCACTTTAGAATAAGGGTTGTTCACATGTCTAATTAGTATCATTATTTATTATTTTTATAGTTTTTTTTAGTAAGGCTATAATTAAATGACAATCGATAAACATAAAAATAGGTTATTTTTCATACCTTAACCTTTGATATTTCCAGAAAATATTAGGATTCTAAAATTTTGAGCACTTATTTAGTTACGCGTACTTTAGTTTGTATACCGAATTTTACCCAAATCCTCAGGGTTCTAAGGAATCGTGATCGATTTGACATGGAAGGATCCAATTTAATCTTTTACCGTAGATCAAGCGTCCGATTCACCATGAATTCGCGCTAACTGCTAATGAGTAGTCACACCTCTCCACGGACCGAACAATAATATTTTTTTGATCGTTATATTTGTGCGCATTATTAAAGCTGTTTGCCGATGAAACTATCTATCACCTGCCCAATGTTAAAAAATTAAATCGGGGTGTTAAATTATTACTTTTTTAAAAATTGACAATAAAATCTATTTTTTTAAAGAAAGGCTAAAAGATTATTAGTAAGTAAAATATATATTTGATTCTTTATTAGTTATAAATACAAATTCAATTTTGTAATCTTATAGTTATGTACGGAAATAATTTTATTGGATTTTGATGGACATGAGGAGAATCTACTTAGATTCGACCGCAGAGATAGAGAAACCCCTTTCACAAGGTGCTAGTTGCTAGAAAACAAAGAATTTTTTGTGGTTAGTGTGGATAGATGCGGAAGTTTTTCTCAAGATTTAAAACGTCTATCCTGTGGATGATGACGTTTTCCGATAAGAATATGGCATTCTTGTTCTAATCCATTCACAGTAGAATCGTAATTTGTGTTTGTCAATGAATGTTTACTTGCTAAATTTGTTAGATAATTTGTAAGTAGTTTAAAATATTTTATAATAAATTCAGTCAGTGCACAATTTTATTCTGTCATTTATTTTGATACAATTTTTAATCTTTTAAGCTGGGAATCTGGTAAAGATACCGACACGACACTTAGATAATTTGTGAAATAAAAAAGGTAATTTAAAATACGTATATAATATATAATGAATGCCTAACAGGAAATCTTAAAGCTCAGTTTTTTGAAAGTAATATTTTATTTTTGCTCCACTAGATCAAAATCGCGGTTCATCTTGTTGGGGAAATTTTATTTTAATATCTTCATTTGAGCGTTATTGTAAATATCATCACTAGAATCACCATCTGGAAAACTGTTATCAGGGTAAGGATCGGTGTTATCAAGATCTAAATCTAACATATCAGATGATGAATCAATTGTATGCAAGATTTTCTCTGATTTCGAACTCAAGTACAATCTCTGCTGTTATTCTAATATCTCAGAACAGTTATGATTTCTCTTATTCTTTTGATTAGATTTTCAATAAATGATAACTTTTATAATGCCGTCGATGTTTACTAAATTGTGTAGACCAGGATCCAAAATGCGATAATATTCTCATAATCTAATAGCCCCTCACTCCTTTTTTTAATGAGGGGTTCCAGCATCAGTGACTATCTTAATTTTTTTACAAATTGAATTACTTAATCCATTGTCAAGAATGGTCCAAACTGTATGTTTTCTACTAACCTATTGAGTTTGCTAGGGTAAATACAACATTTCAAAATTATTATTTATTATGTTTAATATATAATCTGTTTCATATGTCTAATGTGATGGCACAAAATTTGGTTCCTAAGTTAATTTGCTCCTAAAAATCGATGCTAATACCAGAATGGTTTTAGTTTATATTAGTGTTCTGCATCGGACCTGATTTCTTCCGAATTTATTTAAATAATATAAAAATTTTACAAATAAATAGCGGCTTTTTCTTGCAGGAATTTTAAAATATATCAATTTACTTGACGAAATGTAATAATATCGTATTTAAAAGTTTAAGCCCGACCTGAACCGGCCCGGAATTTTAAAAAAAATGTCAGGCCCAACTAAATCCGAACCGAAACTATTTTTTTAAATTAAATGCCTAGCAGTGATCGCCAGATATTTAATTTATATATCGGGTTTAGACCGCATTCATAGAGGACCCGATTCGACACGATTTAACAGCTGATCGATTTTTAAAATCTGTTTATGAGATCAATTTTTTTGTAATAATATTAATGTTGTCTTTAATTCTATACATGATAATAACCTAAGAAATATTGGTTTTAATAAAGAAAAATTGATTCTCATAAACCGATTTTATAAATCGATCAGCTGTTAAATCGTGTCGGATCGGATCCACTATGAATGCGGCCTTAGTCTATGTATCGGTTTAGTTTATATCGGTCTTCGCGCATTTGATGTTTTTCACCTAATAATCTGGGTTTGAAATGCTCTTCAAGAGAAGATTTTTTGAGAATTGATTTACCTAAAATTCCAAATTTGTGATTTTTTTATGTAATAAAAATCTTAATCCCAAATTTTTTTTAAAAAAAATTTCTTCTTAAAATATAATTTTGTGATCCTCTAAAATTTTTTTTTGTCTAAACTCTTCTCTAGGATGATTTGTACCCTTTTTTTTTAATATATTTTTTTTTCTCAGTTTTTTTTATACATATATATTTTTTAATTCATTTTTAATATTATGCTTATTTGTTTAATATATATTTATAATTATAATTTTCTAAAATTTTGGGCAAAAATTTCAACTGAATAATATTATTTTAATAATGTAGAATATTTAAGGATATTTTCTGGTTTAAAAAGCAAATAATTTTTAATATTATGCTTAAATGTTTTTTTAATATATATTTTTATTTTAACTATAATTTTCTAAAATTTTGGGCAAAAATTTCAAACTCTGAATAATATTATTTTAATTAATGTATAATATTTAAGGATATTTTTTGGTTTAAAAAGCAAATTAAAATAATTTTAGGAAAATTAAAAAGTTAGATAAGCAGATAATTATGAATTCGCTATTTTGAAAATTTTTTTTTTCAAAAATAAAACCTTTAGGAAATTAAAAAGTTAGTTGAGCTAGTGGGAAGAAGAAAGTTTAAAATTATGAAAACATTATTTTTATAAAAATATTAAGAATAAGAAACGAAAAAAAACTCAAAATTTTGAAAACATGGATTCCTTTTCCGGTATATAAATTTGGCACGGTTCCAAGTTCCGATTCAAAACTCTCTGTTAAAGCAATCAAAAAAAATTTCAAATAAAATAATCCTCTAAAATGAGTCGTTTTAACATTTTAAAATATAATATATATAAATTACTCGCACTTTTTTTACGACTGGTCGGTTAGTTTTTAAGCATAATTAAAATTAACTCGTTTAGGACGCTTAGACTTTTTTTGCCGAATCGAAAATATTTTTTATGGACACTACTACCAAATTGAAATTAGGCATTTTGAGCACGCCTTCACGCCCGAACTCTCTAGTTACGTCACGTTCAGGTAGAAATGAAGCAATTCAATTGAGCCCCCCCCCCTCTTCTCTAAATTTAGAAACTTTCGTCAGGGGAAATCGTTTTTTAAAGTTATTATTATAATTTAATCTTTAATAGCTCTTCCCCATTTTTAATGCAAGTCCTAATTCGTTTTTTTGGACATCAAAATTGATTGGACCTAACTAATGTATTTATTCTATAGATTGACGAGAAAGCTAGCTTTAGCGCCATTTTATGGTTTGCGCGTCGACTAATTGTTTTATCGTTCATTATGTTAGAATGCATATATTAATATCATTTTAATCGGCATGCAAGCCACAAAACGATGCCACAGCTGTCTCCTATGTATGCATGCACAAAAAGCATTTATTACACTCATCGCTAATCTAGTACTATTCACACATCATTGGACCTAACGAAAAGTAAGAGTTTTGACAAAAAAAACGGCTTTGAACGTAAAATAAGTTATTTATTATAATTCAATATTTAATATTATAACTATCGGCATTACATTTAAAAAGAAAAGGTTAAAAGAAAGGACAAACGCCGCAACAAAAATAACAAAAACGCTTCCAGTAACTCAGTCGATTTTTCCTCCCTAAATTCATCCTTCTCGTCCTTGCCCTCGTCCATCGATTTGGATTTCGATTAAGCAATATTTTCAAGAGTTTGTGTCAAGATGCCGTCCTACCTTAGCATTTTTTTTATACTTTAGACGATAAGAAGAGCTTCGAAGCAGAACTTTCCATTTTTTAAAAAAATCAGCTGATGCGAAAACGGAAATTTGTATTTACTACGCCGGGAAAGCCGCGATAATTATCGATACCTTTTGAAGAAATTTATTATTTATTTATTTTTTTCTAACAACTTATTTCATTTATGTCAAAGCAACAACAAATTTTTTTTTTTAAATAATGTTCTTCTTTATGAGGTATAATTAACCTTGGATATTCGATGAAATTTTTTTTTTGTTATAAATAATCGAATTATTCATCTTTTTCATAAATAATTTAAATCGTTTTTTTAATTAAATTTATATTATTAATCCGGCAAATTTCACATTTTTTATGGCTAAAATTAGGCAAATTAAAACAGCTAAATAATATATTCTAGACTTCAAATTATTATCGTATATTTTTTATATATAAAATTATATCGGAATTTATTATATTATTTTTTATTTTACTATAAAAAAAGGAACAATTTTATATTATTATAATCGCTACCTCTACTTTCTAAATTAGTAGTATTTCTACCGCTATTTTTTTTAAAGTAGCGCGCTGAAACTCCACTACTGAAAAAGGTAGCAACGCTAGAATAGCCCCCTACTTTAACAACGCTGCTAATAACCTATTCCTTTTATACAGGCTACTTGGCCTATTCAGAAACTATTAATTTATTTGTACGAATACTAAAATATACTATTCGATCGGTATAATTGCGAATAGTATATTATACCAATTTTTCCAAAAAAATAAAATTACAAATAATTCAGTATTCGATTATGCCAATCCAAAAAATAAAACACTGATTTCTTCTGAATTAAACGAAAAAAACATTAAGAGATTATTCTACAATATACAATACACATTAGCGATCTGCATTGGGGGTAATTTTTCAAGCCCGACCCTTGCACGGTATTTTTTTTAAAAAAAATTTGTCCTGCCATTCCCGATCCCGAACGAAATATTTTTTGTCTATCCTGAAAAGCCCGATCCGAATTGAAAATTATTTGTCCACCCGGCCCGAATTTATTTAAATATAGAAAAAATAAACCCGGCCTGGCCCGAAGTTTTTAAAAAAAATATTAGTCCCGAACCAATATTATTTCTTTTAAGATTTGCAGATCTATAATACACATCATTTTTGATGAACTATATTTTAATAGTGTAACATTCATACATATATGGGTCGGTGAGCTATTTTATTAAATTTACAAATTATTAAATAACATAATAATTGGGCCATGAAATCGGTTACTAATCCTTAATCTTACAAGTAAATCAATGTAAGTGGTATTATTGTCTTACAATATCGTTATTAACAAAAATATAAAGAATATTAATAGGCTTATTTATTGTCAGTCATTTTTTTAAAAAAGGAATAAAAAAAATAGCTATTTTAATTTATTCATGCTATATTTAATAAATTATGTGTCAACGATATTCAGCAGTGAATAAAATTTGTTTGGTATGATTATGCAGCTAAGGAAAAAAAAATGAGACATGAAAGTGAATGTAAAAATTACAGCCAATAATTGACAATGCTTTCAATATAATATATATAATTATCATGACCCTAGGTACATAGCAAATATAATAAATCCTTTCTTAGCAGGTTTATTTAGGATAATAAAAGTATATAGGTATTAAAACTAGTAGGAAAATATAGCCCAAATTTTGTATGAAAAATAAATATAATATTTTATTTATGTACCTTTACTTAGGAGATGTAACAGGCCTTAAGTTTACACGTTAGCACCATTTATTTTAGAAAATTTTTCTGATTATATTTATTTCCTTTTCCTACCCTCAGAATATTTTTTATTCTTATGCCCCTTTAGAAAGCCTATCTCCTGAATTATAATAGGAATACAATCATGTAGACATTTCTGATACATTGATTTATCTGTAACTGACCTCGGAATTTCAGCAATAAATTTTATTGACCAACTAACTTATTTGTTTTTTTGTCTCCAAACTTTTTGATAAAATTTAAATCATTTCACTATCTTAAAAGTTTTAAATTAGATAAATATTAAATTCTTCAATTTAAACTATTTTATTATTTTTTTTTATAAATAATTATATTTAAATTGTAATATATATATTATTTATAAATTATTATAAATAAGTATCATAATTAAAAATTTTATCAAAATTCGTCGCTCCTAAATTTATTATATTGTATAATATTTTCATCAATTTGAAGGTTTTAAGTCAGTAGTTATATTAATTTCATTCACCATTGTTAGATTGTCGCACTCGGGCTTTTGCGGGGAAGATAAATGCAGTGTGTTCAGATCGAAATTTATGCACCGAGAAATATTTGCATTATTTTTGAAGAAATCGGTCCTTTTTGTAAAAAATAATCTGTTCACATCTTGATAAACATTCTGCGATTAAATATTCAAATAGAACATTAAAATTTATATTTTTTTATAAAAGCGCTTAATTCGTGCTTTTTCGATTAAAAATTCGTCGGGGTTCGGATCAGAATTTAAAATTTCGGTTGAACATGATTTTGACATTAAAAGATTAGAGTAGGGCTCCATGTTACGACAATGGGTTTTATTAAAACAATGTTTTGATAAATTTTAAATAATTTTGACTTTATTTTTGTAAATTGATTCAAAGGAAAATCTATTAAAATGTCAAATTGATACATCACGTTTATTTTTTCTACCTTGTAATTTTAATGTAATATTCTAATTTTTAAAATTGTTAAACAATTGATGTAATTATTTAAAAAACTTTTTAAAAAAAAACTCAAGGCGGCCCAAGTTTCTAATTAATTTTTTGGGAGACTGGGGTAAAACGTTAGGCATTTTGCATATTTACCATAAAAATTTTAAACAAGAGTCAAACACAACAAATTATAGAACAATGTATAGCCTCATTTCTCATCTACAAGTAAAAAAAAGTATAGCCCACTACCTATAATATTTTAGGAGCTATTATTAGTTATGTCAAACTACTCATTTTACCCTGGGTACAGGATAAGCACTGGGGTAGAGTGGTTAAAGTAATATTTGACATATATTTATCATTTTATTTAACAAATATTACAAATTTAAGATATATTTATGATTTTTATTTACAAACTAATCAATACAATAAGGACATGTAAAGTAGTTATCATAATTAGCACATTTAGAATGAGCCCATTCAAGGCACAGTGTACATTTTAACCATTCATCGCCCTCGCGACTATTTTTATAGTTTTTATTGCAAATTTGATATCTTTTTTCTTCTCTGAATAAATAATTTCAATATTAATTTGGTAACTTTATTAGTAACTCAATTGAAATATATAATATATCTATTAATTAATACTCAATTCAAATACAAACAAAATAATTTAATTATGTTTAGGCTTTAATCCCATAATGACCTACTTGCTTCTAATATGATCACACAATCTAGATTCTTCTTCATTTGTAAATATTTGTTTATGATCTGAACTTTAAATACCATTTTTATATCTTCTTCTCAATATTGTATAAGGTATTTTATATTTTTTGCAGACAAATTCAATAAAGTGTTATTTTATATTTTATGGCTTCATCTAATCTATTATACTTACATCTCTAAATATGGTTTTTCTTTTATAATTTCTCATTATTTGATTGATAAAATAAAAATTATAATAAATGAATGAAAGAAGAATGTGAATAATTATATATTTTAACCGTTTTACCCATAACAGCTTTACCCCAAGGTGACATATATTATAAATATCGTTATTGCGTGACTTCTATTATAGCTATAGATATCAGATAAATTTTATTTTATAGCTAATACATTAAGGAACATGTGTGCCAAATATTGAATCCTGAGGATATGTATATATCACTAAAAGCAAAATATACTAGAGAATGATTTTTATATTTTTTGGGTAAAAAGGTGTTTTTTGACAAAATATATAAAACGAGGTAAGTTTTTTAAAAGATGAACATAGGTTAGTAATTAGTTATAAAAATATATCTTCACACCAAATTTAAAATCTTTGTGCTCAAGGGTTAAAATGTTATTCGCGTTAATATTGTTACGCCATCAAACGCTTTACCCCGGTCTCCCCTTATTATAAATTAAAAGACTGCCAGTCTCTTTCAAAACAGTCCTTCCAAAATATTTCTAAGTCACAACCAATGACAGACACGATGCATTCATTAAAAGTGTATGTTGTAATTGTGGTAACATGCAAATTTACTAGATTAAGAAAAACGCCCGACAGGCAAATTACTTTTAAACAAAATTACGAAGCCGAAAGATATTCAAATCTACTCAAGAAAAAAGAATCAAATCTCGGTACTAATTGAGACTATGCAAATGTTGATTAAAGAAAAAGGATATATAATGGAGAAATTATGATGCGCGGAAGGATGATTAAATTATTTTAACTTAAATTTACTTTTTAATTTTATTTTTTTATATTAATTTTAATTTTTCTTTTATTTTGATTATGTTTTTCACTTTGTATTTAACTATGTTTATTATTATTTAATAAAGGATTCAACTATAATATTAGTATATATTTCTTTTTATATTTAGGTTTTGATTTCCAATGTCAAATCTCGCTTTCTTGACAGTGTACATCAATGAAAACAGCTGAGGACGCCATTTTGATAACCCTTATTCTTTTTAAAATAAACCAGAGGTCAATTTATTCCTATTTCTGACTCAAACTTTATTAAAGAATTGCCTGATCATCGAGATAATAAGGAAGCAAGTAATAAATTTAATAGTAGTTATTAACATGAGAATAATTATTAAATGGGTTACCAATATGGTGGGTCTAACTGATTTGCATTCAACGACGCTTTCAAATGCATTATTATGAATACATCGTCAGTCTAGGTATTATTATGTGTCATTGGTCACAACATCAATTCAAGGAATCTATATACTACGAGCGTTATATAGTTTATAGGTATCAGGGCATAATTTGGTAAGGTGGGATTCGAATCGTTAATTATAAATAAAATTTCTTTTATTTTTAGTGGATGCCATTTTCAATTAACATATTTACCTTCCATTTTTTTTCTATTTAAGCCCGGACCGGTATAATGTTGGGTATTCTATTTAAAAAGTAATCTATTTAAGTTTTCTTTTCTGAAGCCATCTACTTGGGATATGGTTAATATAGCTACAACTTAAATTAAATCATTTCTCCATATGGAAAACCTCGAGAAAGTTAGAAACTGATCTCATAACAGATCAAATATGTTATAAATTATTTTTTTAGAAACCCCATATTCTACCTATTAATGAATGGTTGCTCTACAGAGTTGCCAAAGTATCAAGCTAGAAAAATGTGGTATATGTATCTAGATTAGAGGTCTGCAAATGGAAATTTTTTTAGATCAAACCCGGATGGGAGTCAGTCCGATTTTAATTTTCACTAATCGGTATATTTTTCAAAAAACCAGAAAACCTATGTAAAAATAACCAATAATGATGAAGATATGGGTTTCATGATTTTCCATTTAATCTATTAATAAGTAATAAATAAATATATTATGAAATTTAAAATAAATATTTAAAATAATATTTAACATTAATATATCGAAGATTTCTTTTTAGAAATACCAAAATTTCAAATTTATCAGAGGTCAGCCTGCGGCGATGGTAACCAATATCACCAGCTTCACTAAAAACAGATTCTGAAGGGATTACCGCACACTTTTATAAACAGAATACGCAAAAAATAACAATATGGCAGAATGTTTATTAATTAATTATTATTAAAAAAATATACATAAAAATGGATTTCGATTTTATTTATAAAAATAAATGATTTTAAATATAACTTTTTTTACAAATTTTATAACATTTTATTTTTGTTAAAGACGCCATTTTATATCGGATCGGAAAATTTTATAATATTGGCCGACAACCGATATTTTAAAATGGGTTAAATATCGGTCCGATCCGATATAAAATATCTGTACATCCCTAGTTACCTTCTATTCTCTATCAAGCATGATGGACATTTTTACTTTTACTCGCCAAGCCCAAATAAATTTTCAGACCTTAGCAGGGCCCCGGGCCTGGCAGTGCAGGTCTCTAATCTAGCTACAATTTTATAAAAAGTATTTATATCTAGATATATTTTTAGACAATGTATCCATATTTAGATCTGAAAGTATCTTTTAACAACTTTGGCTAAGAGTGTATACTTATACAACTCAAAAAAAAGGTTTATAAATTTTATCATTTTTATTCAAATTTAATTTTGTGGACTTTGACTTTGGCTATAATTATGTAAAACTTTTTTCTTTTTTTTGAGTTAGGTTGTGATTTAATAATATCTAACATTTATATAAAATTTCATATTTATAGTGAATACATTTGGGAACAAATAAGATACTTTTTTCCCCCTAAATTTACCTCAATATAGAGCTCCATCAAAACTTCCAAATTTGAAAGAGATACTTAAATATAGCGAATGCTGTGTCAGGATCTGGATCAGATATTTTACTAGATGGAATTAACAATATCGGACCAAATACAGCACTAATTTCGTCCAAATTCATCTTGTTGTGCCGCGATTGACATAAAACTTTTTTCAGGTGCCGTAATAGGAAATCTATGTTGTCCTAAATTTGTTTTAAAAAAAAATTATAATTATATTTTCTTATTTTAAGGAGAAATTCATGGTATATAAAGAAAGAAACTGCGAATAATTTATATATATCGTTGCATGAGAATTAGAATATTCTATTTCCACTTTTTGTAACTTTATAAGAGAGTAATTAAAAAAAAAATTAGTATATTATTTTCGATAGGATGGTTAAACTTGTATCAAATTTAATTTGAGTTATTTATTAAATAATTCTGATTTTTCAATAATTATGAAAAAATTGATTTACGAAAAAAGGCATTTTTGACAAAAAGTAGACATAGAATAATCTAATTCTTAGGCCACGATATATCTCAAAAGGCTTTTTTAAATTAAAATCCAGCCTAAATAATATCTCCCATTTCATCAATTGAAACAGCAGATTCATTCTCTAATTCATTTAGACTGAAGAGTTCTCAAATAATATTTTTTTGACATTGCCAAAAAAATGAGGTCGACATCATGAAAATATTATGCCTAAACCGAATTGCGTTATAATGGCAAATGACTTTTATACAAAATTGATTTTCCGTTCAAGAATTTTATTCTATTTCAATAAATTCGATCTTTATAAATAATCACTTGATTAACTATATAAAAAAAATATCTTGTTAAAGTAAAGGGATTACTATTAAAAAAATAACCACCGAATTCTCTAAGAAAAGCAATATATCCCTGGCTTTACTTCAATTACAATAATTTTTTTTTAGAGAACAATAATTTAACGCACAAAAATTTTTATTTTACTCCTTGCTATGTTTTAAACAACAATAAAAAATTAGAGTTTGAAAACAAATAATCCAATTATTTTTTTTTGCCTAAAATTTTGAGCAACAAAAAATTATTATCCCAAAATTTAAGATTTTTTTTAAAGAAGATAAAAATATTTTTGATTTCATCATGGAATATCTTTTACCCCGTATTCACAGTTAGAGATCAAATCACGGCGAAATAAATATAAATAATTTTACATTCATATTTGTATACTTCGCAGCAAATACCGGCTAACTGCAAATGCGAGGTTATGCATAAAAACCACAAAAAGATTTTTAGAAAAAAAATATCCTCAGAGATCTCTTTGATTTTTTTTATTTATTTTGAAAAGAATTTCAAAAACTATGGAAAATAATTCTCTTTTTTTTTCCTAACCCGTACCACATCCGGGACCAAAAATAATTAGGTTTATAAACCCTGACCCGTCTTATATTTCTCTAAACCAAGGAGCAGGCCGGGGTTAAATAGTCTTTGCTATTTTACGATTGATTTTTATTTCAAAAATAAAGGTTATACGTCCAAACTTAACTCCCAGCCTTTTAAGATATACCTGTCCTAACTTAATTGGCGTTTTTCAAAAAATTTTACCCAAGTACCCCATTCTATTTGATCGATAGTTTGAGTAATTTACTGGTAATTTAGATTTATACCAGATCTGATACCCAATGGACCGGACACCATTTAAATTATCGAACCAGAACCCGTGCCGAACTTCATTTTTTTTTTATTAAACCTAAAATTCCGAAAAATATTTAAAAGATCTCTCAAGATTTTTTTTCTTTCAAATTCTGAAATTTATTATGGCATCTATTAACTTTATTGATCTTGGGTAAGCATTCAACGACGCTTAGCAGTAGGGATTCATTGCCAGTAGGGTCAGTAGGATTGAAAACCGAAAAAGCGTCTACTAGCATTTGATACAGACTATTGGTTATCAATGGTTCTGGAAGCTCTCTCAAAAAATCTTTTACGATATCTTTTTTTTTAAAAAATGATAAATTGCATTTTTGTATTTTATTTATGCTATATAGATTAGATCGCAAATCACTTTTTTTTATACATATTAAATTATTTATTTCTTAATAGTATATATTATAAAAATTAATTTATAGGCTCGTATTTTAATTTCAAAATTAAAAATAAATAATAAAAATTATAATTAATTATGATATTATATTTAAATTCAATATATTTTTTAAAAGTAGCGAAGTAGCGGCTACTTAGCTACTTTCAAAAAAGTAGCGCGCTAAAAAATTAAATAATTACAAAAAAAGTAGCCGCTATTAGCTATAGCTACCAAAAAAGTGCGCTACTTTAACAACCCTGGTAATCAGAAATCAATAATATTATACCTATTTACAATTAATGAGCATTGCTCCTCTACCCTATTTAAATAATCATAAAATACTTTTATTTTTATTTTACTAACCTCAGGCGACAAGTTTACATATCAAGAATTCTTACGCAAAATATCTTCCCTACCGCAAATTAGTAAAATAAATTTTTAAATAAAATATGAACCAAACCTGTCAGTATATTTATGTCGGGTATTCCTTTCGCCGAAAAATTTGTAGAAATTAGATTTTTTTCAATGATCCCTTTAACCAATAGCTTCTCACGCAAGCAACTGCACAAGTTATAAATGGCCACGCTATCCAAACCACCCCTTCTTTCTATCTCCGGCAAAATTATACAAAATAGATCGATTATATTTGTGTCCGAACCCGTGTTTGAGCGCAATTTCTTATTTTCCACGAGTCTGGGTAGCTCCACCCCGAATATATTTTGAGTTTTAAGGGTGCGTTTAAAGATGCTCAAAGGGTCCGAGTATTCGAGAATAATGTATAAGGCGCCCCTGGGTTGAAGATATATTTTTAGACGCTTGACGGCATTGTTGTTGTTATAAGGTTGTTGTTTTGTAATATTGGATGAATTTTTATCGACGCTCCATAAATTAGAGTACAGCGCGGATAAATTGAGAACCGCGCGGTAGGATAACTTGGGAACATCTAATGGGGTATCATTTTCGGTGATTTTCTCTTCTCTGCCTTTTATTTTAACATTCGTTTTATTTAATTGTAAGTTTTGGGCCCAGTGATAGAGGAATATGTCAATTTTTCTGCCTTTCAAAAGATCGATTTCGAACGATTCGTCCCAAACTATAGGTCTAGATCCAAAAATCTTTTGATCCGTATCGTCGGTGGACAAATTTATGACACCATTAAAACTAGGTTTCTTGTCTTTCTGAGTTTTAACCGCATCATCATTTACTTTGTAAACTATCAGAGGTTTGGCGCAGGTTCTCGCTTTGATGCACTTATCCACTTCCAGTATCATGTACATACAACTATCTATATCACAATCATAAGAAATATCTTCAGCTTTCTTCTCATCGTTATTATCAATCTTTGCTGCTTTCATTTTAAAGCTATCCGTTCTCACATTTTCATAATCTTGTAATAACGTTTCACTATCGGAAAACGATGTTGAAGATGTCTTTTTGTGTAGACTATTTTTATCGGAGGTTGAATTATGGGAATGATTAATTTGAGTAGGTAGACCCAAATTTTCGCAGGCGCATATATAGATGTTAAGTAGCCCTGTAAGCGATGACGTTTGAGGAGTCGCGGAACCTTTGGCCGACGGCTCAAAGATGCAGGATTTCCAATCCCAATATTTGTAATTGGTCAGGTCCAGATCTTCGAAATTTATGGAAGGCGTGTTGATTTCATCTTGAAGGGTATAGGCATAAGAATTTCGCTTAACTTTTTTAAATAAATTTAAAATATTATTTTTCGAAAGGCCTTTTCCAATTTTAATAGGTAATTAAAAAAATTATTAAGGGTTTACTAGGGATTGGCGTAGCCCGACCTGATAATTTTTGTAAAGCAACTAGCATAGTGTTTCGCAATCTTTTTCATGACTTTTTCTTTCGTAAAATATTATTTATGGGCCTGACCAAAAAAAGGGTTACAAAAAAATAGCCAGGAGGAGTCGAACTACGCTGAACTTTAACTAAAAATGTTAAAAATTATACCGTTTGAATATCGGGTAGGATCATGTTTAAGGGACGAAAAGGAAAAATCCTGCAATTGATTTCCGCCATGGTCAAAGTAGTGGACTCTTCTTACGTTTGAGGTAGCTTAATTATAATTATTTTATTTTTTTTTAAAAAGAATACAATTACATGATTAAATCTTTTTATATATACTTGTGATAAATTCGGTTGACTTTAAAGACGATTTTAGATCTTTTTTGCTTTCCTAGGAGGGAAGAATTAATAAATTTGTGTGAAAGAAGTGTATATTTTATAATACTTGATACATGTCTGGCATACTTATTTCATTTTCGTAATCAATGCTATAAGATTTTGAGTACCCATGATCTTTTCCTGTAAAATAAGATAATTTAATTGTGAATTATACTTCAAAGATGTTATATAAGTCTAAAATAATATTACCATCGGAGTACTTTTCCACCATATCACTCCCTGATTGTTTAAAGGCAGTATTTCTTTTATCAGATTCGTTATAAAGAAGGTAGTTAGAACCTTTTCCATAAATATTAGGTTCCCTTTGTTTGACCGTGCTTTTAAATAATAAGTTGTTTTTATCGCGCGTTAAACCGGTTTCACTTTCATATCCATTTTTCCCCACGTCATTGTGGTACAAGAAATAGGAATCTACCCGTTTTTTAAGAGGTAAAATATCGCTGTTGGCTTCACCTACCGCAAATTTATGTTTGAGTCTGGAATTTGCATCTTGTTCGTTCCGGTTGTCATCCATCCCATCCTTTATATCGTAATTTGACATGGTACCTTTTGAGGATAACTGGTCATACGCATTGCCAACGTTAGTGTTGGTTGTCGGGTGGTTAAACCTTTCAGAATAATATTCCACATAGTTATTGTAATTATCGTTAATGTAATCCTTGTAATGATGAGGGTTCGTATCGAGGGTGGCCGCCCTTAATATCCTTTTCTTGGTAGGGGAATAGTATAAGAACCCCTTTGTTTCTCCCGGTCCTTCTGTAGCAAGGGGTAAGTAGGAAGGGTGAGGACACGATACTTTTCGTAACACAATTTTCTCCCTACCATTGTCATCTATCACGGGTGCATGCGAAATTATGTGATGCGATGGTGGCAGTTGGTGACCATGATGAAGGGAATCCCTTGATTCGATTAAACAACCGGGTATCAAGTTTTCTTCGTCGTTATCGCGTATGCCACCATCTTTTAATAGAATGGCATAATTTTTATAAGGATACATGGACGCTATTTTAGGTACCCTGGATTCATTGTCGGATGTTATGTAATAACCTTCTGTTTGATGTTGCCCATAATTCTTGGTTGGTTCATCGGCATAATATTGATTTTTGGTGTCGACATATCTATTGTTATTGTATTGATGTGGTAATCTCTTTTTCACCATCATCATCAGTCGGTTTTCAGCCAATCCATCAGAGAAATAACCGGCTTCGTGGTAAAAAGGGGTTTTATTGATGAAACCGGGATCTACCTTTGCATATTGTTGCTGAGAGTATAAGTCTGTTTGGGTGCAGGAGTCCATACAATTTCTATTTTTAGTTCCATTCTTAGCGTAATGACCCAAAGGTCGGTAAACTGTTCCGTATTGAGCCAATTTCTGAGTTTGATCCTTGGCCAGCCAATTGCCGTCATTTATATTAGCTCGGTAAGAGGAATCGATTTTAGAGCCACCGAGGTAACTAAAGCCAGGCAAAGTGTTATAATTTCTATTAGAGGAATTGTACTCTTCGTTTATTTTCTCTAGGTTGGTAGTTTTCGCATATGATTGCTTTTTATCACTATCCTCGAAAGAGTATTTCGTGTTACTATCGCTCTGATTTCCCGGGGACGCATCCAAATCGTCTTTGACAACATTTCTAGGCCTTCCATATTTCTTTGCTCTGTCTAAAGAGTAAGTATTCTGAGCGGAATCGTCTATAATCATCGACTTCATACGGGGTTCTATACCAGCAATGTTAATTTGTCGTCGATAACCATCATCAATATTACGCGAGCTGTTAGCGGGCTCCTCGTCAGTATAATAGTAGTAATATCCATCATTTTTAGCCACTGGGGAAGGACCCATTTGTTCCTTGCGACGATTTACACGTAAATAATGGTTGGAAGAAATTGTATTATACGGTATGTTGTAATTGATGTACCTACCCCTCCTGGCGTCCGGAACCTTTTCACTTACGAGATACATATAAGGTTTGCTATCATCCTTTTGCTTGTTTTTCACTATAAAACCATCGCTATTTTCTTTGAATCTGTCGTTCCTTTGAGGAGAAGATCTACCCATATCCCTTTCGTGAGGTCTAGTGTAATTTAAGTCAAGACTCGATGTATAGGTACCCATTTCTTTCTTATTCTTACTCTTTTTATAATCACTACCTTCAATTGTTGTAGTAGTTACATTCTTAATTTGTTTGGGAAGTGGCTGAGAGTTGTAATACAGATAATCGTTGCTATACTCATTTTTCATGTTTGAAGATGGTGAGGTCATTGTAGAAGTAGGATGTTTAGAATCGTATATAATGTTGGAGGAAGAAGGCTCTTTAAGGGATTCATAAGTAGCCACCCTTTTAAATTGTTCAAATTGTCTGGAACTCTGTCTGGGAGGAAAATGCACGCTAGCTGTTTGAGCCGTTGTCAATTTAGTTTGAATGATTGTGCCTATTTTCTAAAAGTGAAAGGTAATAATTTATACATTTTAAAAATAAATTATATAAATACCTTAAAAAATGACTTTGTAATAACTGTAATAACTGTAATAACTAAATTGGTAGAGCTGCGAAATTTTTTAGTATAGAAATGCCTCTATTTAAAAATTTATTCTTTTTCTTTCTTTCTTTCTTTCTTTCTTTCTTTCTTTCTTTCTTTCTTTCTTTCTTTCTTTCTTTCTTTCTTTCTTTCTTTCTTTCTTTCTTTCTTTCTTTCTTTCTTTCTTTCTTTCTTTCTTTCTTTCTTTCTTTCTTTCTTTCTTCATAATTAAAAACAGTCAACTTCACGTTTGTTTAATACCATAATTGTATCGGATCCGACGTGATTTAACAGCTGAGCGATTTAAATTTTTTTATAATGAGATCAATTTCCTTTTAATAATTCTTAGATTATTATGATGATCAGAAATTAAAAAATAAAATCAATATTAAATTAGGAAAAATTGATCACATGAACAAATTTTAAAAATCGAACAGCTGATAAATCGTATATCTGATACCACCATCATGAATCCAGCTTAAGGCCAGGTCTAAGGTAATGTAAGTAATAATGAAATTAAGATTAACTGACTGTCAAACATATTAAGACAGTTACTTTCTTTGTTTTTTCGACTTTCACTTTTAGTTCTACTATATTTTAGATAGAACTGTCAATCCAACAACTTTAGACAGTTGCATCAAAAATTAATTTAAGCTAACGAAAAGTAAAAGTTAAAAATAAAACAGTTTTCGGCTTAGATATGAGAATTTGAAAGAAATCTTTGAGATCACAAAATTGAAAATGTCTTTAACAAGGATCAAAATCCTTTTATTTTAAATTTGTGATTCCATCATAAAAATCACAAAGGATTTACTTCAAAGTCTTCAGCGATTAAATATCTTTTATTTTTAAGAGCATCTGAAACTCTGCTTAAATATAGATTCTTGTTACGAAACACATTGTCCATGAATAGTTTATTAAAATGATATTTAAAATTGGTTAAAATAAAAGGAATCTACATATAGGACAATGCCTGATTTAGGCTAGTAGGGTTGATAGATATTAGGTATCCTGATTTTGGCTAGGATTTTGTTTTTAAAATTATAATGCTAAATTTTAAGAAATTTTTCTAATTCGTTTTGCTTTAAAGATATACAATATCTTTCTCATACCCTTGCATAGACTAGTCAGAGAGGGGGAGGGCAAAAGGAATCCCACCCCAATTATAGCAATATATCACTATAGACAAAATTTGAATGAAAAATTAGTCCTAGTTAGATAAATTTTTAAACTAACAACTATAAGGCCATTTCAGGATGGAACATTTTTTCAAAGTGGTTTATAAACGATTAAATGACGTCTGAAATGGGGATTCGGATATTTTTTAACTTTTTTTAAAAAAATATTATATTATATCAAATTAATTCGACCTTTTGTTTAGAAATAAATTTTGAAAAATTTTCTGCTAACATTATCCAAAAACCGTTGTGAAAAGAAAACGCTTTGAACTGGAAATGGCCTAATTCAAAATTTTTAAAAACGTGAATATAAAGCATTATAATACTCAGCCGATAACATATATATATATATATACATATGTTGTGGGGTCTTATAATAGATTTTTAATATGAAAACTATTTACCGGCACCTGCGTTCCATAACGATACCCCTCAATATACATTATCTCTCACCGAATGTAAATCGGTTTTTTTGAGCGTACAGCAAAATGAATTAATATAAATTTATTTTTCGATCAATATTATTGTTATAACCTTCCCTCCTCCATAATCGCTTGGAGGGTTTGAATAGGGTCTGGATTCGGAAGCCGCGTTTAATTCTCTTAGGGGCTCAGGTGCCGACATAGGCAGTGGTTGATAATATTGCTGCATTTGTTGTCTGACACTTTGGTCGGAAAGCTTAAAATTATCGTGTTCGTCGTATAAGTAAGAGGCGGTTCCCACATTCGGCGAGACGCATCTCCCGTCCGGAAGATGTGACGATTTAGAAAATTTAGAAGTCAGTTTTATCGAAACCGCCGAATCGTATAACTTCTGACAGGTTTCATTACTGTCGTTATAATTGAACGATTTAGTATCAGATTCTGATTCCGGGAAGTCAACCGTCTTAAGCTCGAGCAAAAGGCGCCTGGGGATGGACATTATAACCACGACATCGTCTAGACTCATTTTTGTGACGTCGACACCGTTCACTTTTAATATCTCATCTCCTACTTTCAAAAGTCCGCTTCGCTCTATACTCGAGCCCTGGGCCATACGCGATATAAAAACGCCATCTAGTCTACGCGTACCTTTGCCTTCTCTTTATAACAAAAATGTTTAAATTATTAATCAATTAATAATCTTGAAAAAAAAAGTTAAATTATTATTATTTTATTTTTCCCAATTTTATAATAAATAAAATTCTGTCACCAAATAATAAAATATCAAGATAATTTTTTCATCTTATAAAAGTTTCAAAAAATATAGATTCAAGTTAAAAATTGATGTCAATAGAGAAAGTATATAGATTATATTTTTAAAAAAAAATATTTTATATATTAATTAACCTAATGTACAATCCCAACGTTTGCCCAGGTCTCTTAATAATCTCTATGATTTGAATAAAATTTTTTAACGAAGATTTATCGGAAACCAGGCTATTTTGATCGGGTTGAGATGCCAATAAAGGCGATATGTTGGAATTAGTTTTAATGGAGCCCGATTGGGATAGGGTATCTTTTAACGAGTTTGCGAAATCGCTGTCGCAACTTTCGATACCCTTAAATGAATCAATCCTGCCTGAAGATTCGGAGTTCGATGCTACTGGTGTTATATCAATGCTAGGTGTCTTTACGGAAGAGCTCGAACTTCTCTTTTTCTTGAACAAAATATGGGAAAGGGATAGTTTTTTTTCCGCTGGCAATGGGTTATTATCCTTGGCGTGAGTATCGCGATTTATCCTGGGATTCTGTTTGGATGTGAGGCAAGAGGTAGGATTGGTGAAAGAACAGCGCGTAGGCTCAGGTTTAAAATTTTCATTTTTTATGTTAGATAAAGTTGGAGAATACACGCTTTCATTGGTGGTTTTATTTTCCGAGAGGAGCCTAGTCGGGTTTTGTGTGGCTTGATTAAATGACTTTAAGATATCTACTCTTCGAATACTCATTTCACCGGTTTGATCGACTTTATCTATCAAATTTTTCACGCTCATATCATCGTCAGCCCTTTGGATCTGTCGGAATATTTGATTCGATATGGAAGAAGGCAAGGCTATGCTAGGAATATTGTTGGGTCTCAGTCCATCAGACTTAGCGAATGAATCGTTCATCCTGGGAGTGGAATAGATGGAAGACGAAGATGAAATAGTGATCATTCTAGGAACACTCGATTTTGAATTCACGGGAAGAAAGGATTTCTCAATACCAACCGTTGATCTGGGTTCCATATCGAAGGAAAAATTACTTTCGTTTATTTTGGCTTCGCGAGAAGCATTTTGGCAAATAGGATTAAACGAAGAGAATTGTATTAGCGGATAAAGATTATCGCCGTTTGAGCCATTTTGGATATTACAGTTATTTTTATGGTTATGATTTAAAGCGCCTATGGAATTGACTGCAGAAATTTCGCGGCCAAGGGGATTCGTGGGAAGAATGTCTAGAGATTCTGACGTTCCAGCTAATCCATTGAAATGATCCTTAATAATATGATGCTTAATATTATTGCGGCTCTGGTTTGTCGTGACGTTGTTTTTAGATGAGTCGGTTCTATGCGATGAGACGAATAAAAATCCGTGGGTCGATTTCGAACTATTTAAAATGGAGAATAGAGCGGATTTTTTAGGGCATTTGCATTGGTTTCCCTCCTTGACGTGTTTCAACAATTCTGGACTAGTGAAGGAATGCCGCAAATATTTATCCTCAACGTAGCCTTTACCGTCGTCATTTGAATGAATGTATGAATTTTGGATCGTTTTGTCATGGAGGGGACATTTTTTAAAATTTTTGACAAACCTTTTTCTTCCCGCTTTCTCGGATGTTTTTTTGCAGTGAAAATTGTGGGCTTCTTCGGCCTTATTTCCCCCCAAAAAATAACAAAATATAAATATAAATATCTGAATATTATTTTTAAAAAAATTTGGGTAAATAAAGGGTGGGGGTTGGGGAAGTATATAAAAATGTTATATAAATTATTTTAAAAAAAATTTATGTATAGATTGGATGAAAAAGGCTTAAAATATTTATATAATTATATATAATAAAATTTATTTTTTGAATGTGTATTTGGTAATAATAACATAATATAATACCAAGATTTTAATAGGCAAAAACTGAAAGAAGAAGAAAAAAAAATCAATAATAAAAATATATTATTATGAAATTGTATAATATTTTTATGTGTAAAATTAAATACTATACATAGTATATCTATTGCAGGCCATGCCCTAAGCCCAGCCCGGCCCTGATTAAAAAAATCCGGGCCGGGCCTGGTGGTGCAAATTGTGACTCTTCAGGTCTCTTATACATAATATATGTATATACTTTTTGTTTATTATATACATAAAATTGTTTTTATTTAAGCTTTGATCTACGAAAAATCCCTTTAAAAAGGAACATTAAAGTAAATTCAAAAGTTTTCAAAAAAAAAAATTTAAATTATTATTCGATCGTTAAAACTTCATGTTAAGGAAAATCAAATTACAGATTTAGATATAATATTCTGCTATGTCCAAAGTCTTTTTTAAAAAATTCTAAGAGTTCATAATTTTCACAAATTTTAAATGAAATGATATGTTAATTTTTTTTAAAAATTTATAAAATTTTCTAGAATTATGTTTTGGACATGTTTTTATTTTTATATTTGAAATAAGCTTATTTATTTATTTTCCTTAAAGTTTCGAAAGTTTGTGAATATATTTGATATTTTGGACACAGTCTACAAAAATACAAAGAATATTTGATCGTCAAATATTCGATTCTTAAATTAAATTCCTTTTGAAATATTTTTTTTTTGAAAAATGGATTATTAAAATTTTAAAAGATATGGGAAAAAAATGTTAAAAAAATAAAATAGTTCCGCAAGGAAAATATTAAATTACTTAGGGAATAATTTTAAATATTTATGAATAATTTTGAGTATTTATGAATAATTTTGAATATTTATAAAATAATTTTGAATCAATTTTGAATATTTACAAATTATTTCGAATAACAACCTAATAATTATAAACTATACCAATAATTTCGGATAATTGAATCGAGTAATAGATAAAAAAAATTATTCGACAGATAAAATATACGTATTCGAATTTGTATTCGGTAAACAAATTAGTATTAGGTGTTTAAATAATACATAATATATAGGGGATATAATTTTAAATAAAATAAAATTGAGTCACATTTCTCAAAATTATTGATGTTGGTTTTTTTGAATTTTTGCAGGAGAATTAATTTTATTTTATAAGTCACAAGACTCATGAAAATTAAAATGCATTTTAGGGAGATGATTGATAGAGCTCTCCTAGCAGATAAGATACGGTCAACCTTAGACGCGTAGGATGTCATTTTGAGGGTAGAATTCCCCTGCATTCATAGTTATCGCGAATTCGTGTCTAAGTTTTACAAAATATGCTGTATTTTTGTATTCTTAGCAAAGAATTTTGCATATTTAGCCCCTATTTCGAGCTAATAAATTCAGGATTAGGCCGGATGGAATGATATTTATTCCAGAGAGTAATGAAATCACCTAAGCCTAAGATTTTACATGCAATGAACCTTTTGCGCCTTCTTTTAACTTCAACTCTGTTGTTTGAAAGGAAAATTAAAAATATATCTAATATCCCATTTCCGACACAATCGGTATATTTGGTTCTAAAGCTCACGATTTTTTTTAAAATAAAAAAGATTAGGCGCAACCAATTTGCATGAATTCAGCTGGAGTAAATGTCATTGGTTATGGTAAGACGCCATTGAAAGATGCATTTCGTTTAAATGCCCTTTTTACATTTCGTCTAAATGCGTTTTTAATGAAGGATTTACCACTTTTTAAATAAATGTTAATGAATGAATCGTTTGACTAGGTTTAGTATTCATGTCATTGAATTATATATATGTTAGGGGTAATGTGTTATTTTTTAAATCATATTTTTGAGCGTGTTTTTTTAAATTTAAAAATCTGATTTTACTGGAAATATTCGAGCATATTTAGAATACCTATCTTATGAGTTGTAGCTAATTCCACGGTTAACTCTTAAGTTATTTATAATTTATATTAAAAATCTATGAAAAAAAGAATATAAATTATATTAAGTTCTAATAATCTTAGATTTATAAGGTAGGTATTCCAAACATGATGGAATACATTTCCGGGTAAAATCAGATACTTAAATTTTAAAAAAATAATTTAATATTGTTAATTATTATTACCAAATGATAAAAAATTCTATCTTAATAAAAATAAAGACATAAACATTATATATATATATATAACTTTTTAAAAAAAAGACACTAATTTTTTATAAATATGTGGCAAACAAAGGTGACTTAAAAAGGATTATAACTAAGAGAAAATAAATAAATATTTATAAAAAAATAGAAATACGGGTTGGGGTCATCCAAGGGAGGAGTGGAAGTAGTCTTGTTACACGGCTTGATTTGAGCCGATTTTTAAAAGCGGCTAACTCATTATTGTACCCGGAAAAATACTGGCTAAGTCTTGCGATTTCTCTAATAGATGTCCGAACCGCTGTGCCATCTATGAGCAAGATCTTCCGCTTTGCGTAATATTATTCTGGATAAAATATTGAGTTTGTCGTTAAAAATGGATCAAATCGAGCCCTTTAACAATATTAAGTGGACGCTTATAAAAGTTAGATCGGCAGGTGTGGATAAAACCACTCGTTGGAATCTGGTGTCTACAGCTTTTTTTTTTCGGAGGATTTTGATTAACTGGAAGGCCTCGACCCCAAAGATTTCTAAGGTGTTGGTAACTATGGACATGAGAATAATTTTTCATAGGGCAAATTGTGAATAGTTTGGTTTGGCTGAGAAATGAATACAAGTGTAAAGTTCTAGACAATTAAGGAGATCCGAAGTTGAGGGGTATGTTATAGCCTTTTTGAAAACTTTTTGGCAGAGGCCCGCATAAATACCATTTGAACGGCCCGGCCCAGGTATTTTTAAAAAAAATTAAAATACGGTCCGGCTCGGCCCGGCCCTAAACCCGGGCCTGCAGGCTCTGAGAAGATGATTTTAAAAGAAATAATAATATTTCGAGCCATTGAAAAATCTATTTTTAAGTTCTTGTAATTTATGAGAGTTTTGTTTGCGATTTCGCCAACTTCCATAGATTTTTATAATAAAAATTATCCAAGTTTTTTATTTATAAAAAATAATAATTTATCTTTCATTTTGACATAAAAAATTAAATATAAATATGAAAAAACAAAATAGATAAAAATATTTTTATCATGGATAATTTACTAATATTATTGAGATTTTAAAAAGAAGATATATGTAATAATCAATGTAAATGAATTGTACGACAAATATTTATCTAAAAATAAAATATGAGGATTGGTCGTGCAAAAATGATCATTATCTTAGTCCAAATTATTATGTCCATAATGATTAATTTACTCTTTTTTTTTGTTAGAAAGGAAAAAACAATGAAATTAAAACTTGTTGAATTGTGCATAGATTTATTAGCAGAGTTTGAAAAAAAAATAAATAATTTATGAATTTTCTATCCTGAAAAAATTTTTCTGCATTGAAAATTCAAGATTTTTTTTTTTAAAAAAAACTATATTTTGGTATTTATTTTAGGTAAAATTTGATCCAAAAATCTTTGTGCTCTCTTTCTTAGATATGAACAGTGATGGTATCAATTGTAATATTTTTTTTATAAAATTTGTCAAAAAAAATAAGTTCATAATAAATGGACTAGTGTTGTTAAACGGCTCGATTTTGAGCCTATTTTTAAAAACGGCTAGTTCAACATTATAGTCAGGAAAATATTGCCTAAGCGTCGAGATTTTATCCAATAGATGCCCAATCCTATGTGCCATCTATGAGCAAAATCTTTAGGCTTGCGTAATATTTTTCTGGATAAAATATTGAGTTAGCCGTTTGAGCCGTTTAACAACACTAAAATGGATAAGTAAGTATATAAGTTGTTTTTTTTTGCTTTAAATTCATAATTGAGAACGTCATCTTTCCATATAGAATTGTCATTATATACAAAGAAAAATTCTGCATTTAAAAAAAATAGAATAGCAGATAAGACTAGAGAGCTGAACTGAGGCATTTTCGAATATGGATTCGACCCCAAGCCTGAGGGGAAAAACTCAATTTTGGAATAACATCCAATGAATAATAACACAGGCTTAATAGCAGAGTTGGTTAGTAGATAGATATAGTTTAGAAGTTAGTCATTTGTAACCAAAAAGTGGGACGGAGGGGGTAAAAATTTATAATATCCCTCTTCTATATTAAAGCTTTTAAATTTAATTGTAATATATAATTGAAAATTTTTAAGCAAAGGTTAAAAAAAAATGAGAAGATAAAGTATAAAACTTAAAATTATTTTTTAAAAACAGTAAAAAGTTGGCCCTAACAAAATTTATGGGGGGGGAGGCACCCCAAAGCCTCTACCATTTTAGGAAAATCTTGGATAATGAAAATTGCATAAAATACCTACCCTGTGAATATCCTCTTTATTAAAAAAATTAGAAAAATTTTAAAACTTTCAGAAGTTGTAAAATTTTAATGAAATCGTGCATCATATTTTGAAAAAAATTTTCTAGAATAATATTTTGGACATGTTTTTATTTTTTTTTTAAAAAGTCTTATTTTTTTTCTTTTTCGATAAAGTTTCAAAAATAGCGAAAAATTTTTTGAAATTTTGGACACAGCCATCATATTTGAAAAATCAATTTTAGGAATCACAAGTTTACCTCAGAACGTTCTGTGATACACAGGGTAGGTACTCTATACATGTTTGCAATATGATTTTTCGGCATAATCGGGTCTTTCAAAAAAAAGGCTAGCTTAAATTCTTTCTTTCCTTCCTTCT